GACTTCAACTTAATGCCACGGCTTGCTTACACACATAGCCTAAACTGTTTCATCATGACAATGCTGGTGTTCCTCATATTTTGCAGTGCTTTGCTCACGAGCTTCGTAACACTTGACAAAGGTATAGTTTTTCTTTTCCATTTATAGAATATTTACGATTTACAGTTGTAAGTATTCCGTTCGCTTAAAATTTTTTCAACGAAAATTTCTGGTTTTTTAACTTACTATCTTAAGTCCCAGTGCAATTTTAAAGAATTTCGTTTACCAGCCAAGTGTGGCCTCAATGAGTTAAGATTATACATCATGCACAGTAGGCTAAGGCTAACTCGACCAAATAACCTCCCTCCTGGTAGACTGGGAGAAAGCGGGGCTGCTCTGTAATGAACAAGATTCGAACGACTCCTCACGTCGTTGAGATTATAATATGGCGCGCGCGACCGACCTGTTGCTCGGGCGTTTCTTGCGCCCGCGGGGCCGTGGCGCGGCGCGGCTGGGTCGGGGCGTCGCTGGCGCGGCGTGGCGCGCCGCGCGAGAGGGTCTCTCAACACTCCTTTGTGGTGCGCTTGGAGGGGTTTGTGTCGGCGGCCTCCCCAAGCCAGCCAGACCCAGCCACTTCTTGTGGTCATTGTTATCGCCCCTGCTTCCCCCTTCACTCTCCCCTCTCCGCATCCCCCTTTTCCTCCGTCTCATTTTCGGCACGCGACTCTCCTCGTGAGGAAAGCAAACAATCCTCTTGAGCTCTGCAGAGCAATGAGACCGCAAGGTGACATGGTTAGGAGTAACTTTGACAACTCTACGCAAGCTTTGGTCTGTGAGCCCCGCCCCCACGCGCCACAACAGTTGGACGTCGAGTAACAGGCTTCGCGAGACTCTGCACAGCACTCGTAAACGCAAGAGCTATGTCCTCTATCCAATTTTCCTCGTGCGTTGGAGAAATTGACTTCACAGCTAGACACACTAAAGACAATGCGTCCACTTTGATCGACAAGATTTTGACATGCCCTTTTTGACTTTTAAATTTTGTTAATCTTATACAAACTGAATTATTTTTTCTCCTTTGAGCTTTTTCAGAATGAGAAAATTCGACGTGGCCAAAAGGAACCAAAAAATTGCATGTCAGAAATGAATGATACAAGTTTCCAGTCATATAGAGGAAACGCTAACAAATGTTAAAGCGGCCACAGCGAGCAGCGGGCAAAACTGCCGCGCCCGGAACAAGGATTCGCGGCTTAATTTTCATCCGCAGCAGATCAAAAGCAGCGCGGCCCGGGGCAGCAAGCAGCGATGCTGCTGCTGTCATCCCCCTCTCGCTCCGCCAGGGATTTGCGTTTATCAATCGGTGGTTTGCCAGACATGAGCGATGGATTGATGGCAGAGTGTGTTGCAGGACCCCATTCCATTGCGACCGCCCGCGGCGGTGGTGGTCTGAGGGGGGCCCCGCTGGGTCGCCCGTCCTCGCTTCTAAGACAGCCCCGAACCCCACCTCCCCGCCCTTGCCATCTCCTGTGACGTACGGCAATAATTGCCTTTAAGCCCTTTGGGTCGCAACCCTCGCGCTGCTGGCGCCGCTGCCTGCTCTGGGGGGGGCACATCATGAAGGAGGTGGAGGTGCGGCTGAGTGCGGTCTGCGGCGTGTCCGCGGCCGTGCACATGCGTGCCAACTTGATGACCTCACGTCTGGGACGTGGGGGGCCGCCCCATTGTCATGCCGGCGCCGTATCCAGTAGTACATACTGCGTTGTACCACACTACTACCGTGTGGGCATACTTGCCTGGCGGGCTGCTTGTTCGCCTCCCTTTTCGGCTCCTGCAGGACGCGGACGAGACCCTCCAGGAGCCGCCGGCGCCCTGGGTGAAGGCCGTCCGTACGCGTGGGGTGGCCTTGGATTGGAGAGGAGGAGGGGGAGTACGGGGTGATTGGGCTGGCAGTCCGTCATGGGCCAGGTGCGTCGCGAGCAGGGAAGCGGGTCCGAAGGGAGGGGCAGGGGGACCCGGCACGGCCCGGGCCGCCGTGTCTGGACTGAATGCGACCCCAACCCCCCGCCCAGCACGCCCCTGCCGTGACGCTTAAAGGGGCGCTGTAAGCCGACGTGCCCGCCCCTCGCGGCCCCGCGTAAGGCCCCTCTCTCTCTCCCCCTCTCGTCCCCTCTCTCTCCGTTCTCCCCCTTCCTTCTCTCCTCCCCTCCTCTCCCTTCCTTTGCGCCTCTTGCACCTACCCTCTTCCCCTTTCCGCCACTCGTGCTTCGAGCAGTCTCCATAGACGCGCGCTTTCTTCTCAAGCGATACCAAATCTGATTTCTTTATTATTGTTTCTTTCTCAAAACAAAAAGTTGCCCTTTTTCTTGTTTTTGCTTTTTTTTTTTGATGCGGAAGGGAAACGAGAAGCGGTTGTGATTATCCGGAGGGATATTATTAGATGACGGCTTCTTGGAAGGAGGGGAGAGACGGTTGAGATAAAAAACGAAGATATATTTGCATTAGCTGATCGGAGGGACCGACAAGACCCCCGCGCGGAAGTCCCTCTTAAGTGTCCGTCCGAATGAGGCCCAAATTGACTTCCTGAGAGATCGGGGCTTAACGCCTCCCCGATGTGTCGTTTGCAAAACTTTTTCCGAAGGGTCTGTCGTCTCGCGCTGGCGGCAGCAGTGGCAGCTCCAAGACGCGATCGCCGAGTTTAACACCCCGTGAATATGACGCCAACTGCTGCAGCTGCGAGCAACGAGACGGGCGACAACATTCTGCTCATCTTATTTCTCTTTGTGCTTATGCCTCGAAACCTGGAGGAAATGGGCGTCGTTGGCGTTTGGTGTTTTATTACACAGGGGAGACAGAGCGATGGGAGGGAAAGAGAGAGACAGGAAAGAGATGGTTAAACAGGTGTGAGCAGGATTAATTACAGGACAATGTCACGGGCGGAGTCTCGTATAACGTTTGGGTGATTTCGTTTCAGGTATCGCCCCCCCCCCTTGACTCACGCACACCGACGCTTATACACGCGCACGCACACACCTACACATACCCCCCCCCCCTCACACACACGCCGTTACAGCGCACCATCAGCGACGGAGCCAATTGTGTCTGGCGGTTATCGCGGCCTGTTTAACAAGCACCTTTCGCACATTACAGCCCTAATGACTGTGCGACTCCCCCTCGCCTTCCCTGGTGGGGCTGGGACCGGCGCTGTCTTCGCTCATCTCTCCCTCTCTCTTCCTCACCCTCTCTCGCCTGCATGTTCGTTCCTCTGGTGCGGCGTCCTCCTCAGCCCCCCTGCCGCCGTTGCCGCCTCCTCGGGCTTCCTTGAATGCCAAGTGCGACGGAGCGCAAAGTCAGCCATTTTCGGTGAAAGCTGCTTTCTGTCATTTAAACTGCGGTCGGGAGGTTGGGAGGGAGGAGGTGACTTTGGAAAGGGAGGAGGAGAGGGTGCACGCCTCCTGCTGGTGCAGCCCTCCGTGAGGAAGAGCAGATCATTGCCCGTGCTGCCCCGCAGTGGCTGCAAGCGGCCAGAGGGGGGAGTTTGCACCGAGGAAAATAAAGTGATGCAGCTAGCTGGCGATTGAATATCCTTTGAGCGCGCTGGGCAGCGGCTACAGTCGATGCCCCTGTCTGACCGGCGCGCCGGTCGGACTCAGCAAGTTTCAGTTTCGCCGGGGAGCAGAGCGGAGGGGGGTCGGCGGGCCGCTGCCACTCAACCGCGTAACAGGAACCGTGTGATCTTTGGCCCGGCGAAGCGGGGGAGGGCGGGGCGCCCAGAGAAAGTATAAGGCGGGAAGGGGGGCGCTGCTCGAGGTCAATGTCTGCCCTCTGCAACGCTGCCGGTTGGGCGCCGGCTTCACGTAGCTGGTCAGCAGCTGCAGCAGCCTTTATACAACACGGTCTCATTTTCCCAGTCGGCTACCGCTACCGATAAGGCTGAGCTGGTCCTACCGCGACCACCCGTGCAGCTTCTGTGGCACCTGTTCCGACCACTCCGTCTTCTAGTCCAAGGCGCACGGAGGGGCGTTAAGAGAGGCTTCGATAAATTGGGTTTCTCCTTAATCTACGAGAAAGCGTCGTTACTCTCTGGTGGGGTGGGAGGTCGTGAGCCTAACACCACCACAACCACCGCGAGCAGACCCTCAAAAAATGGAGAGCAGCAGTGGCAGAGACTGACGGGAGGAGAGGAGGTTCGAAGTGGATCAATCGGAATGCCGCAAACCCATGGATGGGGGAGGAAAACCAAAACCGAACCGACCGAGCAGAGACGCGATCAAAATAAATCTCATCTCATCTCGGTACTGCTCGGGCTGGGATTGATTCTCCCGGGCGGATCGGTTTGCCCGGAGTGATTTATCGGAGGATGTGTGCAGTGCGACTGATGGCTGCGACGACTTGGGGGCGGATGGTAGCAGGGGGCTGCAGGGCGCGGGCCCGGGGGTGGCAGTGAGTTAGGCAGAGCCGGCCAAAACTAAGCAGAGCCACCTTGTTAGCGAGTCTATGTCGGTTCTTTTTTAAGCCGAGTGCAATAGAGGAAAGAGGGAGGGGAGTAGAATGAGGCAGCTGGAACTTATCGGCCGTTATGAATGAGCAGAGGCCGGAGGGAATAAGATACGGGCTGCTGGCTGTCACGACGTAATTAGCGGCCGTGTGCTGCAACGCCCAGGCCAAGCAGCCCGCTGGAACTGTTAATGGAAATCTTACCAAAAACAAAACAAATTTGCTAGTGCTGTTATTGATTCGTGAATTCATATGCATTTGTCTGTTTTTCATTTCTACACAAGAATGAAGACCCTGTTGAGTTTCACTTTAGCCGAGACTTTAGCTGGAAATTGTATGACGACATGAGAGGCCATAGCATAAGTGGGAGGTGCTGCCAGTCGTAACGACGCATGTGTCTTCTCACTCCTCGGACCAATTCAGAAATCCGAATACCATCTTTTACATTTACCTTTCGTAAAACTAGGAAATCGACCTTCAAAGTAGTTTTCTGCAGTGTCTAATGTGTGGTTTTTGTTTTCTTGCAGAATCCATGTTCCCGAAGTTCGCCGAGCCGATACCCAACGTGACCGTGACGGTGGGCCGGGACGCGCTGCTGGCGTGCGTCGTGGACAACCTACAGAGCTACAAGGTAAGACAACAACAGCAACCCCTCTTGTGTCGAACCCTTCGACCTATGATCCTCTCGGCTCATCGGAGATTCACGAGATTTGGGGCCCCGATTTCTCGCGTCATCGCCGTCGCCACTGCGGTCGCGCGCACCACCGCCCCGAGTGTTTTTCTTGGCAAGAAAAAGAAACAAGATTTGCGTTTCGGGTGGCTGAGGGGATTCCACCCCCTCCTCCTACCCCCGCCAGTCCGAGGCAGCCGGGCCGGGTCGCGCCCGGAGGGGTCTTGAGGGAGCGGGGGGTCGAGTTGCGGGGGTAGGGGGGAGTGATCGGCAGGACTGACTCGGCAAGTGAGTTCAAGTGGGTGAAAAGGGGCTCAGTGACGATGCGGCGCGAGCGCTACCTGCCCTGTGCCTCACTGTAGGAAAAGGAGGGGGTATATTTCACGCCTTAAAACTATAGGTAGTTTTCTAATACTTCCCGCCCATACACCTTTGCTGGCCAACATTAAAATGTGTACAAAAGATGAGCCCAGAGAAATCTCTCCCTTTTCTCTAGCAAGAAGAAACTTTAGCGTATACTCATAAGGCACCTTATATTTACAGTGTAGGCGCTTACTAGCTGGCGTTTGTGTTTGCCAGCCCTTACCTTACACGTTTGCATCCACTTACATTCTTCCCCTCTGCTTGGCGGCGCCGCCGTGCGTCGCTCGGGATTTACAGGCCAGGATCTCGGTGCGATACAACGAATGCGTCGTGCCCGCTGCCCTGCGTTTACCCATGCCCTGCTGCTTATCTTTACTCGATCCAACTTTTTCTTTTGGCTGGCTGCTGCCTGGCACCCTCTTCCTACTCCCTTAACGCGTGAGCAGGTCAAGACGTATCTTGTGTTTCTTTTCTGTGTAGGTGAGAGAGAGAGAGCATGCCGCTACACACACGGGGAAATAAACGTGACATGACCACTAATAACATACACATGTTCACTACAAAGCTAATCAGAAAGTCCCCCCGGCCGGCGGGAGCCGACCGCTACCGACATGGAACCGACCGGGCGGTGGGCGGCGCGGGAGGACCGAACCACCCTGCTGCGGCGTGGCGAAGCGTGGCGGTCGGGGTGGGGAAAATAAAACTGCGCTGCCCGGTGACAAACGGGACGGCATATCAGATTTCAAATTGCTCAGTGTCAAAGCACGTATCACAAACTTTTTGCTCCTCGTGTGCCTGTCTGTGTTTGGTGTCCACCTCGGCTAGCCCC